CATTTATCCTGCCCTTCCCAGTACTTCTCAAGGGCAAAAATACTGTAACCATCCTGGAAGGAGCGAGTGTAAAGAGGGATACTTTTAACATTATATCCTCCAAACCATCTCCCTCGTATTTCAGGGTTCTGTACCATTAACAATCAACACAGTTACTTCAAGACAGCTATAGATAATAAAATAAAATGCAACAAAAACTCCATAACCACATTCAAATATCTTATTCAGTGATTTAAGGCAGTGGATCACTTACAATTAATCTGGTCTGTCAAAACAACTCTAGTGACTAAGGCCCCCACTATCATAGCAAATCAAATTGCTGAATGATTTCAAGTTACTAAAAGGACTCCTTTCAACTCTCAGCTGCTGCCTAAGTAATCCTAGTGTGGCTGAAACAGATGTGTGTACCCACAGGTAGCCAGGGAAGTTGTCCTGTACAGGCTAAATGAGCTATGGGGCCACAATCAAAACAAGCAGGAGTGTGACACTCAAGCTCAGCAACTGGGGACCAGAAACTGGGACATGCCTTAAGGATGTACCTTCACAGTCCCATGTGTGTGTGTGTGTGTGTGAGTGAGAGCATGGCTGAGAAACCCAGATTTTCTGCTGGCTAGGCAGTTTCAGCTAATCCCATTTTTTACCTTTAAATCTTAATCTAAATGAACCTGAATTAGAGGAGAAAAAAAATTAGCAAATGCAAAGCACAAAACCTATCAAATAGAGCAGTAAAATTCCACAAAAATAACTTGTATTATTGTACTAGCCCAGAGAAGAACATTTCATCCAGGATACTTTTCTTCTGTTTGCCTAACCAGTAATTCAGCAGATGGTGTTCTAAACTATATTCTTCCACCGAGAAATGAGGTACAGAAGCTCCATTGCCACCCAGATGATGGGAACGGCATAAGGAAATCAGAAACTAAACAAATAAATGAAAATCAAACAAACATTTCTTAAGTGGATAAGTAGGACATGCTGCTAGCAGGACAGAATACAATAAGGAAATTAACTCGGCTTAGCTAATTTTGGCTGCAAATTGTGAAGTGTTCATAAGGGGGAGAAATAAGTAAACAATTTTGGATTGCTGCTTGGGACTAATGTTTATAGATTTTTACCTCAGAATTCCAGTGAAGATAAAAACAGGGTATAGTTGTCTTAAGTAACATGGAGTAAATCTTAGTGATCTTGATGATAATGAAGATGGAATGAAGATAGTGCACAAATGAGTGGTGGCAGTGTCTGAAGTGCTCGTGCTTTGGTGAGACATTCAGCTTTTAATCCTATTTTTTTAATGCCAGAAGATGACAAAAAGGCTAATGTTACAGTATCTATAGTCCAGTAATGTGTGTCTGAGTGTACAAATATTATGATGGATTTTCCTTCATTTATCAGCAATTACTTCTAAATTGTCACCTCTCAGCTATACTGGCTTTATTTTTTTGGACAATGGGACAGAATAAAAGCATACGGTTAAAAAACAAGAGTTGCACATCATCCTGGGAAGAAAACAAGATATGTGAATTGTATTTTATTATGATTATTTTCTTCATTAAGGGTGCTTTGATGCATGGTAAATAATTCAGCAAAAAAAAATCTAGGTGAAGTCTCCAACACAGGAATGTTGTAAATTAAAAAAAATTTATGGCTAGTCTTCTAATTCTAACACAGGTATTTAAACAAAAGGGTACTAAATAAAAGCCCTGTTATGAAAGCATGATTTACTTGAAGACATACAGTTCTAAAAACACTATAAAAAATAAGGCAAGAAGTACAATGTTATATTGTTAATGCTTGTTTTAGGATTTCCTCAGTTAAAAGTTGACCTTTTATCTATTTTTGTATTACTGATGAAACGTTACACTGCTGCTATAGCAGTGAAAATAATTGAATTTGATTTACAGAACTATTTGTTCTTACACACTTATGTTGTTGAAACATAGATTTTATTTTAGTTAAAATTATACCAGAATCAAAACTGCATAAAGCATTTGGAAATTAAATGAACAGTTATAAGAACTACAATGCAATAATCTTCTAAACTCTTTTGGTAGTAATAACTCATGCACTGTAGCAACAGAGATTGTTATGCAGTACGAGCTCTCTCTCTCTGTAGATCTTAAGCAAAGTTCAGGAAATGTCCCAAAGTTATGTAACATCTTCATGGAAATTCTCTACATTGGGACTTCACTGTCTCATGCAGTTACTTTAAAGTCTGCCAAGTTCATGGATTCCCTCTCTCCCAGCTTATTTACAGGTGGACTTTGGTTTTGCAAAGTTCTTGATGAATACCAAAGAGGTGAGTACAAGCACATTTTCAGATGAGGGGTCCAGGCAGGTTTTAGAAATGTCATGTAAATGATTACAGTTTGTTTGAATTTTGGGTAATTAGAAGCTGAGGAACTGGGATTCACTTTTACCTTTCCTGTATGGTATGATCACATGTTCAAGACAGATGCCGTGATGGGAAAATGAGCATGCATCAATACTATTCCACATTCACTGAAACTTATAATGGCTGATGTAGGATAATACAAGAAACCAAAAAGAAAGACTTTGTGTAATTATTGTAAGAGTAGTGTAATAAAAAACCTTGCTCCTGAAAGCTTAAATTGTTTTGACAATTTGTGTAGCAAATATATTTGATCATACAAAGCAAAAACACCACTAAGTTACCAAATTTACACAAAGTCAAATATCTGGAAGGGGATCTTTTAAAAAAAACTTTATTTGAGAAAGGAAAAGACTTATATCAGAAGGCAAAAAAAGGGAACATACAAACAGAATATATTTACAACACAAAACGAGACCACCTCTAAGGGTGTAAATTATAATAAATACAGTAGATTTAAAATGTAAGAGACAATAATCAATTAGAAATGTGGTTGTTTAAACCCAGTTTTCCTTTTCACTGGTTCCAGGTAGTTTCTCTAATTTTATTTGTATCCAAATTTGAAAGATTCTGAAATTAAAGCACACTAATGTATCGGGGTTTCTCACCTGAATGACATTATAAAAATATCTTTTGTCTTCTGTGAATACACGTCTTTCAGGTGATATTGTACAAAACTCTTCTCAATTGCAAATTTCTCCCCAAATGTATTTTAAAAGATGCACTATCCCTTTTTGATGAAGCTAAAGTCAGTTTTAAAAGAAAATTAAAAATATACAGAATGGGAAACACATATAATTTCACTTTTATAGCCTTCACTTTTTGAACGTAAATGTAATTTTTTTTTATCCAGGATGGAGAAAGATTTCTCTTCAAATATGAAGCCCACATAAAAATCACCTGTGTTTTTCTCATTAAATCTTTTTCTATCTATTGAGGCCTTTTATGTTAAGAGCAACTATTTAGAAGTTTGTTTGGAGATCTTCTAGGAAAAAGGATAATGTATCTTTAGAAGTTGCAACATTTTAGAAGAGATTGAATAGCATTGGAACATAATGTAAACAACACATGCTAATAACATATTTTAGAGCAATTTCTACGTTTGGCAAAACAACTATCTCTTTTGAAACTGGATACTGCACCTTAAAATACTTTCAGCTTTAGAAATATAAATATTTTTAATAGAAAAAAAACCTGACAAGGAGTCCAGGTCAGTTTGGGATTATCCGTATTAAAGGGGATCTTAATACAATGAATCTTTAACTAGCTTAACAAAAGTAAACCTATAAAACAAGGTAAACATATCAAAAGGGAATATGAAGGAAATGTTTCACTGGAAAGCTTCCTTAACAATTTCCCTACTCTCTTTGTTATTTTCTTTGACAATAAATCAATTCATAGAGTGCCTTTAAAAACAGAGGGAGCGCTGCCCCGTCCCCCCTGCCCCGCATTCCTCAGCACATGAATCACTTGGGCTTCCTGTTTCCATAAGGCATTTCCTGCCCCCCCTTCCCAAAATCACTTTTCTGCAGGAGAACAGCAGGGACCTGACAAAGTATCGACTTAAATAAACAGGGCCTTGCACTGCACCCAGCCTTGCTCTGCTGACTCTGAGGGATGGGCCGGGATGCGGCTCGTAGGCTGTTCACACGGCTGCGCCTTTCAACTCCACCTAAAGCTCCTAGACAAGCTGAACCTGCCTTTTGTCAAGGTGGCATTTAATGCACAGTTGTTATTTTAGGATTTATCCATGAGACTGTGTTGTAAAGGTGATGAGATACTGTAAAATTAGTCTTCATTTAAGAAAAACAAGTGATTGGATATCAGATAACAATAACAGTTCTGTGCTTGCCGTGCAAAGTCCTAATAACTGACTGGAACCACCTAATGCTGCATTTTGCTTCTCACCATGTACTTGCATCTGCTGCACTTAAGGAAGTCTCTGCAGACATTATCATCACATGAGACAGAATGAAAAATTAACCAAGCAGTGCGAAAAAGAAAACAATGCAATTTTAAAACAGTGCCTTGCCTTGCCTCTTTATATCCACCTTGTACTTTTCTCTAAATTAACTTTATACACGAGCCTGAGACCACCAAGATAGCAGTCAGTACCTGTCTACTGGGGAAAAGAATACCCTAACATTAACAGTGTTCAAGACTATAGTATGATACAATATATACAGACAGCTGAAAGCAGAAGTCAGAGGATTCAAAATCAGGAGAATGTTTCATCAATCAGGTCTGGAAACTAATTCCATCAATTGCTGATCTCAACAAGCTAGGTGATACGAGTTCTCTTTCACTAGGACTAAGCGATGTAAGGTAATTCTGGGCTAATAAAACGTCTATCAGCTATTACTCAAAGATTTATGTAGCATAATTGGTTGCAACAGATATTTTCTCAATTAGTGGCCATAAGGATGAGTTTCACTATGTTTTCAAGTGTACATACAACACTTCTGCATTTGTTAAATTCTTCGAACAATAAATCAGGATTTGCTAGCTCAGTGAATCAAAACACAATTGCTTATCAAAGCCTAGAAAATGCATGTGATGTTCAGATAATAACCTTAATTACAAATCCTGGAGCTAAATCTTTGCCTATTACCTGTTGCATAAAAGCAGCTTGCTCCCCAGATTCCATTTGCTGGGTTTGAACATCCTCATCACTGTCCAGTGGCTCCTCTTTGACTTTCACAGCCCCCACCTGCTGTCCTATTCTTTCATCCACACCAGCACTGCTGCTCTCAGCCCTAATGCTGGCACTGCTGGCGGGAGCTCGCTCTTCCTGCATCGAGTGATCTCCATGAAGCTCTTCTTCAGCTTCCTCCAGGTGACTGCCAGGCTGCTTGAGCTGCTCAATGGACTTAGAGAGCATCTGGAACGAGAAGAGGGGAACAAGTACTTACTCCTTTCACTGATGCCAAACATGAAGAAGTACTAGATCTGCATGGATGAAATGAAAGTGTCCACAGCATACCCATGTAGTCATGCACCGTCAAAACACTGATGTATCCAGAAAAAAGAACAGAAGTTCCTAAGCAAAAGGCCACTTCTTATTCTGCAGCAGAAAATACCATGTTTATAATGAATAATGACACATCTGTTAGACTGTTACAGGTGGTAAACTAGAGATATTAATCTTCCTTAGTCTTTCTTCAAACATGAATGCAGAAATACCATCTTACAGTTAATTACCCACAACACAAAATAATAAAGGAACACTAAGATATAAGCAAACTAGTAATCTGGTTAATATTTTGTCATAGGCAAATTAGAGAATTTTTACACAAACATCTCTATCAATGAAAGCATAAAGGCACTGAAACCCAACAAAGGCAAAGTGACAAAGAGCAGGTGTCAGTCCCCTATCCCGTGGCACAAGGATACTACAAGCATGTCTGTCCATGACTGGATGGACTACAGCCTTTGTGGTGCACTGTACAGCTATCCCAGTGCCAGCAGTGATGACATAACACAGCTTCCAAGGCAACACCAGCTCTAGCCTTGTAACTGCTATTTTAAAACTCAGCGGAAGTGCCGGATGCCTGAGTGTTGCAATCATGTGCACTTTGTGTTTTGCCGTTTAAGATGAAGCCAATGCGTTCCAAAATTCTCCAAATGTAGTCCAAAAACTTAAACTGAAAAAAAACCCGACTTTTTTGAAAGAGCCAGAAGGCAGACATGTGAGTAAGAAGTTGCAGGGTCCAGTGACTAATTATCATTTATTCAACTGGCCCACTCAATTTCAGTAAACACTGTTTTGTATCATTTAAATTAAATATTCTGAGAAGGGAAAAAACACCTTTTACCTCTACTCTTACATACTTTCTTCTTCCAGACCGAGTTTTAACTACTGATATATACTCAACTACTGAGTATATGAATGGCTGCAGGATGTCTGCTTTTGTCACAAACCATGGACCATACAGTTTCATTCAGCTTGCTAATGCATATAGAAAAATGCTGGGTTGTCATGTAAACTGTGTTCAAGAAGCTGCAGCTGGATTTAGGAAATCCAATGAACAAGGAGAGTTGAAAGATCAATTTATACAGGTCCAATTGATGCTCTGATGCGTATGCCTCACACAAGTGGAGAAACAAATTCCTCAGAGGAAGCCTGTCTCACCATTGTCACAGCAAACCTTCATTTCTGAGGTGTAATGGGAGTTTAATGGCTTACTAGAAAGAAACAAATAAAAAATCCCTCTTCATTACTGTAGTAACTGGCAAATCACAACATGAGTACCCAGCATGCTGCAGGTGGCATGCCCTTACTACTTCAGCTGATGTGGAGAGTCTCCTTTCGTTACGCAGTGTCTGAAAAATTTCTCAGATCAAACTTATAAATCTTTTCCAGTTGTTTCTCAGGGGATGACACTGACCAAGAAGGTATTAAAGCTAACTGCATGTAATCAGCTCAGTTACACTCCTTTCACTTGTTATTATTATCACTATTATTACTGTTAATTAGTTTACCATTTGTGGGGAGCCTTCCCCACTCCTCAAGCAGGAAGAGAAAAGCAGGTAAGGCTGCATGGCTGGCTGCAAGTGAGCAAATACAAGCTGAAACATCTGTGTGACAGATAATCATATAAACTACAAGAATCACTGAGGCTGATCCATCTGTAAACCATTCCCTGTGCCAGTTACTTGACACCAGGTGGGTTTTTCTGCCGGGGAAGCCAAGAGAAAATGAGTGCATCCTCACAGCAAAGTTAAGACACATATTTAGCTCATTACTGCTCTCCTTTCCTTTATGCTTTTTCACTTTTATGTCAGGCTCTTTCTTCTTTACACTGCTGTATGGGTACAGATCTGCTGCTGAGCTTTCTGAGGCAGCACATTAAGGACTGTAGTACAGAAACTATAAATGGATCACCTTTAGACACTTCTTGCATGCAATCAGTGAAGAGAACAACCACACCTAAGGGGGCTGCAGAGACTTAGAGTGGATTTTGTGTGCATTTCAGTTTGCTGTTCCTGTTTTGGACCCTTCTTCCATGCTGTGGAACTCAGCAGACTATTTGCTCTAGATGTCAGCAACAGTAGGAGATAAGCAAATTAAATTTTCTAAAGCTCTGTGAAATTAAAGTCTTTATATATTTACTCAATAGAGTTTAAAAAGTGCATTTATGTTACCTTCTTTACTACAAAATTTTATTAGAAACATCCTTTCCCTGTGATTTTAACTAAGCCTCGGGCAAGGGGCTATGAGGCATTACAGTCATGTCGTCTCATATGATGGAACATGATCAAATTGCATGGATGGAATGGGGGGGACATGACCCAAAACCTGAAAATCCCTTGTATTGCTCAGACTGCAAGGCCACAGCTGACTGCTTTCTCTGTATCACCACAATGCTTTTATATTTGTTGAAGTTTTATTTAAAGACAGCTTGGCCCAATCCTATTGCAGTAATTATACTAGTTGCATTACTGGACACTTCTCTTAAATCAGACACATCTCATTTTAAATTATATCTCTTAGTGATACTACTGTATCTGGAAACATGTGAAGATAGCATTTTAGAGTCAGTACTTCTATCTTCTCTACCTAAAGATGGGTTACGCAACACAAAACGTTCTGAATTAAATCCTGCTCAGGTCCTTGCACTGCACAGCTGGATACTTCTGCTCACACTTAATGTTTAAATCTTTCACTTTAAACCCCCACTTCCCTTTTTTTTTCTGGCTTTATCTGTAGCTACATGAAGGAATTCCTCCAAATTTTAATGCATCTCTTTTTATTTTGGAAAAGTAATTGCTTAATCTGAGTTTTAGTGGGATTGTGTTTAAAAATAATTACAAAACCATCATTTATTTCCCTAATAAATTAAGGAAATTGGTTATATTTTATCAGTATACTTTAGTGCTATTACTTATTCCAATTTAAGTGGTCACTAAAAAAATGTTAATGCTAATATAACCTATATATTTTTTGCTTTTATCCTCAGGAAATTAAGCTGTAAGGGATATGCGTGAGTCAAAGTAAATAATATCAGCAGGAGAAGTATTTACAGATATCAACTCCATTGTATAACTGCAAGAGTATGATCAAAGAAAAAGACATCAAACATAACCTAACCTGCTTGGTTGTACAAAAAAAAAAAATGGAAGACTAAATAATCTGGACACTGCAAAAGACCATTTTATATGTCCTTCATCTGCAGACCCTGTCATTTTCTCCTTTGAAATTATATGTCCTTTAAAATACAGTGTTTTAAATAAGATGTCTTTACAAAGAGACAAAATCACAAAGTCCTGCAACAGCCAAACAACACGTTTCCATCCTTGATTAACTGTTCATTTTAAATACATGGCAGTAATTTCTAAGAGCTCATGTATATTCTTACAACACACCTTTTTCCCCTTCTCCCCTATGGCAGTCAGACTACCTGCTATGTGTGTTGTATGTACATTGTTAGCTGCACTGAAAACAACTTGGCGCTTGCTTTCTGCTGTCTCTGTTATTCATGTAGTACCAATATTTCTAAGGGATGTATTTATCTTTCAGAATCATTCTTCTGCATTATGACTTAAACATTAGCTCTCAATAAAGGAGAAATGCTCTGGGCATTGTCCAGTTCCAAACAGACAACAGTTTTAGATTTTTCCCAAATAATCCCCTGTTATTAGAAATAGTTGAAAGATTATCTCTCACGTATAGAAGATGCTAATCAGATTTGTAAGCTGTAAAGCCAAAACCTCAGTGTAATATGTTTAATGAAGCTAGATTGATTTACTACTGCTGAACCTGGTCTTCCACATTCCATTAAACATCATTCAGAGAAGTGAATGGTTAATCTGGGGTTAACGGTATCTTTTCAATATTGCTACTGGCAAGAAATAATACTTCTATTTTTCCATCAACATAAATTTCTTTATTGTTTTTCATTTTTTGTTAAGAGATATTGGTAAACTGAGAACACCATCCAAGTACTAATGAATATTCACTTCCTATATATTTTTTTACTTCACAGGCTTTCCTGATCACTGATTCCCTATACAGAGATGCTTTAAATCAACTGACATCCTAGAATGAAAACTGAAATTCAGGTGTTTCTTATATAAGCCTTACCATTACCCATATACCTCCCATACTTTAGAGCACATACCAACTGCCCCATTATTTTACCCTTTACTTCTCCAATACAGAGAATTTTACAAGAGAAAACAAATTGCCAAAATGCTATGAATACACAACTTAAGAACACAAATAGGATTCCTGCATTGATCAAATAAAATCTTGGCCCCAGTGAAGACTTCAGCTTCAATAGAGGCAGGCCTTATTAATCACATATGGCAAAAATAACTTCTAAAGATAGATGGCTTTGTTCATGTACTCTTCACATTAGATTTCTGAGATTTTTCTTTTTCTGCTAGGGGCTTTACATTTAGATTAGTTAAATCAGTCCTCATTTTTTTTCTTCAAGTGGCTGGGTCAAAGCTTTCTAGATACAGATATACACAACAATATCAAAATTTTAGTTTTTTTTTTTTATTGTAGTAGTGGTCTTTTGGTATCCAATTGCACTAATTTTAACTGGGGGTTTTGGACTTTGGTCTCCCTTTATTGAGCAGAATGAAGATCTGCAATGGTGATCAAAGGGTGTTATGAAGAAATAAGCTGTCATTTGGACAGAAGTATATTAAAGCTGACAATGGCAAAGCTGGTCTTCCCTAAGACAAGCTGAGTTCAGGTTACTTCACATTCATTATTAATTCTGGGACAAGGGTTTTTACCTACTTTTGGAAGAGATGTCAACATTTGCACAATGTTTTCAGAAGGTCAGTGTACTAGATCCCACAGGTATAAATGTCAGACTTCAGTGGAGACATATACCATTTCCCACATCAAAAGCCAGGCATCTGACAGCTGACCAGAAATAATCCTTAGGGGATCTCCTCTTTGCTAGTAAGGACAGAGGCACACCTTTTGGCAATGATTTGTTTCTTTTCAGAATGTAAATGATCCAGGGGAATCCTTTACCTCTGACCTATGTTAGATTTTGCTTGTTATCACCCTCACAGCACCACTGGCTTGCTGCTGAAGTGTATTTTTTCCTCACAAAAAAAAAAAAAAAAAAAAAGAGAGAGATAGATAGAAAATAGAAAAGTGGTTTTTGTTTTTTGGGGTTTTTTTTTTTTTGTTTTTGTTTTTTTTTTAATACAACATAAATACAAGAACAATGAGGTGAGGAAAGGTGGTTCTCTTCCTTTTTTTGTTGTTGCACCTATAAGTCAGCCAAAGAGATCAGTCCAAAACCAGTTATCAGGGAGTGCTGACACTTGCCTTGTCATCTTAGCTCAGGGCAAATACTCAAATGTTGGGTTCAGCTGAATACTAAGGACTTAAGTATTTGAAGACCTAAACATAAGAACCTTTAAAAAATCCTAAGGGAAATAGAAAACAAAAAAGAAGACATTAATTTGCTCTAAGATCTTGGTCAACTAGCATTTCACAGTCTTAACAGTTTAAAATGGTTCTGGTCTTTTATTGCCAAAACTTTTAGGGTCCTTGAGTATTCCTTATTAAATGAAACCTCTGCATTTCCCATGACTGAAAAGGCAGGACTTATATCTGTGTGCAGATTTCATTATACAGCCCATGAATAGTAAAGGACAGAACAACAGAAAAATCAAGCTCACTCCATACATGCCCAAACTTTTCCTAAGTAATAAAATATTTAGCTGCTTTCCTATCTGGTCTAGAATATCTACTATTTAAAGTTTCAAATAACTATAACTCTGCTCTGCAGAATTTGATTGTAAAGCTGTGCAAATTATGTAATGAAAAAATAACTTCAGCTGTGAAGAGAGGCAAGTTTTAAGACTGAACAAAGTATATTCTACCACTCTAGCAGAGTTCAAAAACTCTGTAGTCACAGGACTTTAATCTGAACTTTAACCTTTTAGCTGAAAGAAGATGTCTTTAAATTTACTATTTAAAAGCTACTATGTCTTTTTTCATGATCTTGTCTACCCTTAAATTCCAGTTTATAAAAATCAGTTTCTGCAAGTACATATCAAAGCCCCCTGGCTTTCCGTGTGCTTGCAGAGGACAGACACGTGGTTAGAGCATTGACATTTTTCAGTACTATTCTTCAAAATGGTTCTTCTGAGCATGGAGAAGAATCTAGAAGAAACCTTAAAGTCTGATAAAACACACGCATCCTCAGAAAACCCACTGCTTCTCTGGCTGCAACATGATCTCATTCCAGTTGCTGCTCTGAGGAGTTACTGTGCTCCTGAAAGCCTGGTTGCTCTGGGAGTAGGAGTAAAGGAGCCTGAGAAGCTCTTGGGACAAAAGTAGGTTATGGAGGTTCAAGGCAGAGAGAGGCCCTAGGGTAGGGCCACTCTGCATATCTATATGGACTATACTGTACAGAATAAAAGCTAGATTCACCAGTTTTGTCTCTTCATCACAAAGAACCATGTGAGAATGAAGGCAGATTTTAAGTATGAGAGGGAATTATCCTGATTAGAGTGTACTTTCACTGTAGTTCAACAGAAAAAAAATTACTGAAACAAGCGTTATTATGAACCAACTCCAATCTTTTTCCTTCTTTATCCCATCTATCTATAGTAAGATGCAACACATTCCTAGTCTTACATGACTAGAAATATACGGTTATGTGCCTCAAGTTTCATTTTCACGCTGGGGACAAACGCTTATAATGCCACATCACATACCCCCAAAGGCTATGGTAGAATTTATATCAATAACCATATTATCTAAGAAAAATACGTCAGTGGGGTTCTTTGCTTTGTGAGGAATGCATGAATTGATGGGCTTGTAGCACAAAGACTCAGCACATTAGCAGTTAAAAAGTGTTTTTAGACAATTGAGGGAAGGTGAAATATTTTCAAAACCTGAGGCTACGAGATATACATATGCCATCTTGATTAAACATATGGAATGCATACTCAAAGAAAAGCCAACTGGAGTCCTAGTTGAGTAATCAAAACACCCAAGCTGAGAGGGGTTAACATGCAAGGATCAGCTCTGAACTTTGAAGTTTTCTGGTCTTCATTTTTCCTAATTAAGACAAGATTTAATAACCAAACCACTGTACAAAGTATGTACTTAAACTCCAGGTTTGTTTCTAATTTTGTTGGGAATTCTTAGTAGATTCCAAAGAATCAGTAACCCCTGGGAAATTCACCCAGTAAGTAAGGTGGATTGATTTTTTTTTTTTTTTCCTTAGGTACAAGAACTGCATGTCCAGTTTTCATCTTTTCTTCTTTCACATTGCCTCTTATGTATAGTTATTGAGTAACACTAAAACAAAAGAAGAGAACTAAAGATATGTAATTAAATCTTTGTAATACTAGTGGACCTTCAGCAAACAAATTTTGGAAAGCTGTGTACTCAGTGCAGAAAAATGCTCTCCAAATAAAAACATGTAATTACTTGCATATCTTAATTTCAGAGCAGGTAGCAACTTGATTTTGTTGTAGAATTATTGCTTCCTGATAAATCTATTTAGAATCTGTTTTTTGATTATTAATGGATGGTCCCTTTTCTTCTTTCCCTTGCCCCTGCTCAGAATAAGATGTAACTGTACAGGGAATCTTGTACGACACCATTCAACTCTGTACCAGATACCAGCAACAGGAATTTTTCTCTTTCTCCTTATATGGTCATTTTATATCGCCATACAGGTAAAAAACTTTGGTGTTTCTAAGAGAGAAAAGTCAGTTTGATAAACACTGATTCAAAATTTCTCCAGATGTTTAGTAAGCTTCATAAATAAACCCATCAATTTAATAAGCTGATTTGGGTTCAAATGGCTTATCTATTTATGCAACATTCTAGTCCACAATAAGAAAAGTTTTAATACAATTCAAAAGCAGCAAGTGGAGTCATTGCTGCAGCTCAGAAGTACACATCAATTTTTAAGACATAATTTACCATTCAACAGGAAAACACCTGTCAGGTAAAACTGTAAGCAACTCTATTTTGTCGAATTGTAGCCTATTTCAGAACTTTAAAATTAAGATCCTTACTAAATGTATGAATCAACTATACATAAACAAAAAAAGATACTCCTGCAAGAACCTCTCTTATTGTCCATGATGACATGGTGCCAATAACTAATCTTCATTGTTAGTTTTCACCTTTAAATTTACTGGAAATTCTTTACTTTGGGAACTCACCTTATTCATGTGGATCTGCTGCTGGTACTGTTTCTGCTTCTCCAAAAATTGCTGATGTTGCTGCTGGATGACCAACTGGGCCAAAGTACTCTGAGGAAGAGGAGCAGACTGGGTTCTGTTCAGAGGCCTGTGACGAGGCAGTTTGTGGGCAGCTCTTATGCCAGGTGAGACTCTCTCCTTTGCTGCTAAAGGAGATTGTGGATGAAGAGGAACCGCTCCTGCAAAACAGAGACATTTCACTCTCCTGCAAAAAACAGCAAACTAATAGTTTTAACAGGAAAGAAAGTTTTCAGAGAGAAGAGGAGTGTATATTGCAGAACTCTGCATCTGCACTAATGCAGTGGAACGTGTATCACGTGCCTCACCATGCTGGGAAGTTCAGCTGCTACAAAAGAATGTGATGAAGTAATCATTTTCTCTTTTCTGTAATCATTGAATTCTTTCAGGCTAACAGACTGGAACAGAATCACTAAAAGGGAAAACAAAGATGCTGTCCTTTTGTCTTCCACCCTTCCACATTTCCCAAGAGTTAGAATGTGTGGTATTTTTATTACTGCATTTAGTTTAAACCGAACACTGGTGTCATTAAAAACACCTTAAATCAGTACTGCTGTAGCTTTGGTCATTACCAGTCACAAGAAGTTTTTGCTGTCTCATTTGTTCTTTCAGTAACAGATGCTGCAAGAGAGCTTGGTGGCTGCTGTTTGGCTTTCCCTCCAAAGCAATGTGAGGATGAGTTGATGATGGAGCGATGTTTCCTCCATACTGTCCAGCCAAGGCCACGCCTTGTCTAAGTGGTGGGGTCTCCCCCTTCTGCTTTTCTTTGAATGACGTCGAAGCCTGTCAAAGAACAACAGCATTGGTAACTGCTTTCCAGAGAAGTGGCCATTTATACCTCTGCTTGATTAGATGGTCTCATGTCTTCATGAACACATATAGAAGGAAAGGTTAACATCCCTATCTTACACTTTGACCATGAGATGAAAAGGAAGAACATGCCAGTTAAATATAATGCTGTGAGAAACTGACTACTGAAACCAGTTGAAAAAAAAGTCAGCAATAAAAGCCAAAGCATAAGGAATTACTAGTTAGAACATTATTAATGCAAGAACGGGACCTATCCTTAAAATTCCTAAAGACTTTGCACAGCCTCCTGCACAGGAAACTAGAGGATCAGAGGAAATAGTTTGCATTGAGTTTGAAATAGGCAAGGCTTGGTTTTTCACATAACTTTCCATCACACAGCAAGCCAATCAGCAAAACAAAATAGTTACCTGTAGTAGTGGGAAGCTATTACTTTTCCTGGAGCACTCCCTGACTCCCTGAAGGACAGCACAAATGTAAGTTTTACCCTTTGCAAAGCAAACTTATACAGTTAAACTCTTATCTACAAAATCATCAAGAGATGTTTTATGTGTGAGGCATTTTGAAGTGCCTTATAAATGGCACAGTTATTCATTTAAATCTTTTGGAAGTTTTGGCCCTTCATCATAGCAAATGTACTTTACATTACTTTGTTCTTTGCCTATTAAAAAAAAAAATCTAAACAAAAAACCTTGCAAAGGTAGTTCAAGCAGAATAACAATTCTTATAACAAGAATAATAACCTAACAGAAATATGCAGGCTTGCAGATAACCACTTATGGTAAGTCATAGTAAAAACAGTATCTCTGATAATGTGAATTCCAGTAAATTCTAAAATAACGTTTTCACCAAATTTTTTTCTTTTTTTTCTTTTGGTTTATGCTTACTTCACACTGCTATCTCCCTCCCCTGAAAAACAAACACCAAAGTAAGCTTTACTTTCAATTTGCAACTGCTTGTTCTAGTAACAGAAATAAACATTACTTGTATAAATCCATCCCTTTGTTTTTTCTAATGCCAAAAGTAATATTTGGTGCTAGTTGGCCACATCAAAAGCTTATAAGATTTGAGTGAGCAAATGAAACATATTTTCATTTATTTTTTATGTTACCAATTTACTTTGAAGCTAGTTGAAGCTAGTTATATTTTTGTGAAATAGCTAAGAAATTTTTGATGATGCTTACTTTTTGAGAAAGCAAGCATTACTTTTCATGAAGTTCAATTTTTTCATCCTTCAAAAACAACAATGTGCTTATATTTCTAGAGAACTGATTTCAGGCTTACATAATTTTATTTGCAAAGTTCTGTACCTGATGTTAAAATGTTAGACTGGAACAATATATTACTGCTAAGAAGGGTAAATGTATTGAAAAAGCATAAAATAACATGGAACTTTGACTTGAAACTACATTTAGCACTGGAATTAAGTAGCATTATTACAAACCATTGTGGATTGTGTAGATTTTTTTTTTCTTTTTTTTTTTTTTTTTTTTTTTTTACATCCATGGAAACCTGTGCTTACAACTCCTAATTTTTTCATAGAAGTTACCAATTCTCATACTATTGTATAGAACCACCACTTATCAGTATTTTTACTTTGTTGTTGCTGTTGGAAAGCAGGTAAATTTTGATCTGCTGTAAATTTTGCAAGTAGCAAAAATTTTCAGGTGTTTTACTGAGATAGAGGAATTCTACATTCTTGTCCTACAATGTTCCAACTCAGTTTAGGTCATTACTGGAATCTCAAAAAAAAGCTACAGGTAGAAATTATCATGTAATTTAAATTTTATACTAAATAATCCTCATATACTTCTTGCTACATCTGAAATTTGTTATCTGGCATAAATGCAATGCATGTGGCCTGTACTTAGCTAAGATCCACACGGGCACTTGTTTATTTGAGATCAAGAATGAATATTGCTTTCAAGTTGTTCCCAATGCATAGAGAGGTCTGGTTCCTGCTCTGAATTGCCTGTGCTCCAAAATGCTAAAAATATAAAGAGAACAATCAGAAAGTAGGTTTTCTGGAAGCAAACATATGCACAAAGGCTTGAGACTGGTCACTTACACTGATTTGAGGTTGTATTGCTGGAAGTCCCAAGGTAATGTTGGGCAGAGAAGGGGATGTGTACAGACTCAACAAGTTCACTGATTCATCCTGTATCAAAAGGCGTTGCTGGGAAACCAGGCGCTGGAATAAAGGGGAAAACCAATGAAAGTTAATCTCCAATCTTTTTATCTCAGTTATTTTATGCTTTTATCCCGATACACAGAAAGCCAATTATGTCCCAGTCATTGGTTTGCAACCCAATGGAGTTGAGATATGGAAAATTACTGTCCCTGTGAAAACACTGTTGATAGTTTTTTTCTTAAGAAAACAGCTGATATGTGTCTGAGATTATTCCTTGGTTAGTAAATCAAATTTCTATGGAAAGCTGAAATCTTGAGGATTCCTAGATCATCTTATCAACTTCTCCTCAACTCAACGTCAGTTCTTTTCATCAACTGGACAGTCAGTCCAACAAATTCAGTGGGAATTTATCCAGTGAATTCAGGATTATATCCAGCTGAATCATGACTATGAAGGTATTAAACCTTCACCAGGGTTGTTATGACTTCAGCTGTAAGGTACAAAATGTGGTTTTTAACTAGTCCATATACTTTGTTAGCCAGATTATGATATGGGTATGTTTCAGGTACATTATTTACTTCCATTAACATGGAAATTCTGTGTAGAAATTACGGCATCTGCCATTTAAAATAATAGACTCTCTCTTTCTCTCTGTCTGCATATATACAAAACCAGCACCCTGTCATTCTTTGATAATGGGATACCCCTCACAGCTTTCCTAATCCATTCAAGTTAAAATTTTTAACACTTCTTTTGAAGACTTGTAATATAGTTTTCAGGGACATGGAACTGCTGATATATTTTTAATTACTATAAAATAAAAACAGACATTCTACAAAGATCACCCTTTCTATTTCCATAGATTAATTGGGAAGAAACATAACACGATTACCACATCAGGAATCTTTTTGAAGCCTTTGCCTTTCTGCTTGAACAGTGATATTTTTCAACATGTGGTCTAGTATAGTTGCTTGAAATATATTTTCTGTTTTACTCTTGCTTCCCTCCCAGAACTTTGACTCAATAAGAGCTACAAAGGTCTTATTAGACTTAGGAACTCTGGCATGATATGGTCCCCAAGGGAACAACATCCTTGAAAAAGAATACCCTGTGTAACAGTATGACACAGTGACTGCTTTCTTCCCAAACAAAAAGCATATGGGACTCCAATAATAGACCACCTCCAAGAGGGATACTGCACACTCGGGCTTTGACTAAAGTAAATATAATAACTTGTCAAGCATGTTGTGGGGAGCTGTAGATTTTCCCCCAGACAAACCTGGAATATCAATTAACTCTGTAAAATACTTCGTGCTAATACAATGCAACTTCAGACCATCAATGAAAAGTGGTTAAGCACAAAAACACAGGATGTTATTCCAAAACATAACCTTCCTCATACAGTTTGTTTGGAGATACGACCTATCACTGAGACAATAACAGTAGAAGTCTATCCCTGTAATTTTCTTTTGGTACCTAGGGAATGTCAACAGATAGCGTAGGAAACAAAGAAGCTCCACTTGTATATTACATTAATTCCTGGCTAACAGTGTCTTGCCTCGATAACATCCACCTTTGACCATGAATAAATCCAAGTATGGATTTAGTATCAAAACTATGGAGATATTATGGAGGGAGTCAATACATATTTAATTGAAAAAGGACATTCCAATGTGCCTCCTAGAATATAATCAATTTGTAGCAACTGCAGCATCGATACAAAGCCACTTGAAAGATTTATGTTTAATATTTGGTTTTTGGTATACCACTATTACCTTCTAGGATCTGAATTAATAAAAATAACAATGGCAGGGTGTATAGAGTAAAACACACTACCACACTAAGGTCAGGCATGATTGTTTCATCAGGCAGAAGCAGTGATGTTATCTACCACAACAGTTTAATGTTGAAAACAGGAGTTTATTAGTAAAAGCATCTTACTTTAATTTCTAATACTGATAATAGCCTGTAGTTTTCATTTGGATAAGTGATTGATTTTTAAAAATATTTTCAGGTACTATTATCCCAAGCATCACTTTAATCTCATCTCCCAAAATAAATGCAGTAGCCCACCTGCATAGATTAGGGCCCTCTGTACATCACAGAATCCCAGAATGGGTAAGATTCAAAGGGACCACTGGATGTCATCAAATCCAACCACACTGCTCAAGCAGGGTCTCCCAGAGGCAGAAACTTGTGATCCCAGCTGCAGCTTTTCTTTTTACACAGTCAACAACACCTTGCAATGGTGGCACATGCAGGAGCTGCTAAGAGAGTCATTTGGCAGCACAACGGCTAAGCCATGTCCTCATCCTACAGGCAGACATGGTGGTTTGGACTGGCACCTAATTTACCCCAAAGAGAAACATGCCCTACTTGCTCCTCCACATATCTACTCCTTGGGTCCATCGATCCTGCTTACTGATGCTTAAAATAGCCTGTCAACAGAGTTATCCTTTTTCTTAAAATAGAGTACAAGAACTCAGTGTAACAGTGCACGATGATCAACAAGTAACCACGAGCAACCGTGCTTCAGTTGTGCTGTGGGACCTGCTGAGAGGCAGGAACACCTACATGTGCATGTTTATATGCACATTTATAGATTAAGAGGGGAAGACAAAATGGTTTAGCTTTAATACTTGTCAATTGCAGAGCTAATTGTCACAGCTTTCAGTATTTACAATTACTTACACTGGTATTTCTTGAGGCAAATATGCATTTATCTGTCACTTATGTAATTTATTCTCCTGTATTATCAGGTGTTATTCTAGGAAATACTGCTTTCCAAATCACAAATAGAAGAAAGAAATTGATCTGAAGCCCAGTAACACCAAGTGGAAACTTTCCATTGCCTTCAATGGCTTTTGACGAGACCATGAATGCCTAAAATTAATCATTTCACATGACTAAAGCAGGTTGTCCCTCTGAACTCAAGGGACATGCTGTGCAGGGGCTCAATTCTGCTTGCATTTCTCAGGCAAGTATGATTTAGCCCCAGCACAGCAGGTGACCTGAAAGAGTATGGCATGCTACAGGAGACAAATAGCTACTGCGGTGAACCTTGATGATACTGGAGACAACTGTGCCTAATAAAAACAGGATTTTATTTATAAGGTGCAATTAAAATCCTGAGTTCAACTTTCAAGTTTCACATAATGAGACCGGTGTTTTAACAAATGGTAGTGAAAGTACCATTAAAGGAACTGTGATAGTAAAAGATTATCTGCAAAGCTGCAGCATGTGCAGTGCACCTTTGTTCATTCAAAAAATTGTAACCGTCTACCCACCAGACTGGCTGCTCCAGAGACTAAACCACTTAAAAGTCTCACTATTCCAATGGATGTGGTAAAAATACTTTAAAAAGCAGTTTCATTACTGATAATGCTCTAATTCCATCCCTGCACTGCAGTGTAGTCATTTACGGTACTGACTCATGTTTTACTGGTAAATGACTCTGTCATAGTAACCTGTTTTTCCCCAGCAAAAAGTGTTTTATTTGCTGCCATGAAAACCGCGGCCATCCACCCACTCAGATATGAGCACAACACTTACTGCAAATGTCACAACAACGATTATGAAACAACAGCCATGTGAGTCATACGGGATTACAGAAAAACAAGTGATATTTTGGGTGATTTTGGAACACTCAACTATTATTAGAAACTTCTGTACTTTGTGAATTGGATTAAAAATTGATTAGCTGTATAGCCTTTGAGAGCTGGCTAACACTAAACTAGGAAAGAGATATGTAGGAATTTGGCTGCTGTTAAACTAACAAAGAAAATCCCACTGAAATAAAAATCACTGAAGCTGAGATTTATGGAAAATGTTTGAACCCACAGGACCACAGTAATGACAGTCAAGTAACCAGAGAGGTAAAGAAATCCCCAACTGGATCCAGAAGTGGAAGCCTGTAGTTTCAGCTTCTTAGCACATTTCAGCAAGTCAAGTGACAGACGCCAGCATGCAGAGCTCAACTTCTAAAGGAACGCTTTAGGCTCCTTTGAGCATCTTTGAATCTAGGTTGGGGTTATAATTTTGGATGTCTGGCACAGAAGTGGCAAATAATATGCAATGTAATGTTCTACTAGCAAACAGAATATAACTGCTGGTTCATGCTACAACCTTTCCAAATCTCCCCAGAGACCACCAGCCTGACAGGTCTGTATGTATTTCTGATGGTGCAAGTATCCAGAAACTGTAACATGCAAAGTCATGAGCACCAAGTATCAGTCTGAGACATTAGCCCTTCCATTTCATAGAATCCTCAAGTCAATAAAAGGTCCAACTGGATAAGATTTTCTGTTTTATACAGCACATAATAACACCCACATATTACCAACTGCTATCTAAAACATTCCCAGTATTAAACCACACCATTCCACTCAACTAGGATCTGATCTAATCCTAATGATGGATCTTACTCTGCATCATTTAAATTTCTTTGCAATCACATATGGGGGGCTATGAGACAAGACCACATGTTAGCCATCAATGCAATTTTTTTTTCTTTTTGGTTACGGGCCAGAGAGAGGCTACTAATCAGTGTGCAGAGGTCACCCACCTGCCCCCTGGATCATAGTTCACACACACAATTAATTCATTATGGGGAAAAGTCACTGCTGGAGGTTGAACTGCCCATTCCAGGGTTTTTTTTTAGGTGAATGTCCTGCCACTGACCTGGAGAAATAGCTCCATTAACTAAAACTCTGTTGAATCACATTTTCTTATGCAATTTTTCTAGCATAAACAGCATAAAATGATTAATAGAAAACCTTGCCACCAAAGCAGGAACTGTGGTAAGTATACGCTGGATATAGTACATTTGAGTCTCTCTTAGTCAAATTAGTTTACTGTCCCTTTACAATATTGCCATGGAAAGCATGACTTGGGCATGTCATCTGTGCTAAATGAGGTTTATCACAACTGATTTACCATCTGCATTCCTGTTGTTATAGGCACGTATGTATGAAACAGAATAAGGAGTAGTTAAGATTCCTTCCGTTTACAATCTCACTTTACAAAACAAGTATTCAAGAATTCTGGCATGACATTTACGGCGGTTAAGTACTGCCCTGATAAGGAAACTGAGATACAATAAAATAAAAGGGAGATGTGACAAGTATTTAATCACCTAACTCAAATACTGTGACTAAAGAAATCTACTTCAGCATTCACATGAACCTGGAACCACCTTAGCTCTTATATGTAGGGATCACCAATGCCTAAACCACTGTTTTGTATGCAGGAGCTCTGTATCAGCATTCAGCAGTGAATGAATGACTCTTTTAGGTCATCCCAGAAGGTAATATTCTGTAACGAAGTTCCTTTCACAGCTCCCTCCACTTTTCCAGTAGCACTACTGCTGCTTTTCCCTGAACTTTTGTTACCATAGAGTCTACTGAACATGCATCTCATACATAAAAATATATCTCATATATTACATACTGAGGTGTCAGCCTGTAGTGTCCTGGTATCCCAATTACTCTGCTTGTGAGTAAGATCAAATCAAATTTTCCATCCTCTTCAGTCTAGGTACCCAAGCACAATACACAATAATGAGTCTTACCTCAGCTTGAATGTTAGATGACAAAACTGAGGTGTCATTTTCTGTGGTACTGCTGGTTGGGCCATTGCTTGGGGAACTGGGACCTGATCCAGGGGAGCTGCTACTGACGGAGGATTCTGAAAAACAGATTAAACATACGTGAATTTCACTCTGGAAAGGTACACATCATCTTGATTAATTGTATAATCTTTACAGCACAAGGCTTTTTTTGCTGTTGAAAAATATCTATTGGTTACACTATTTACTTACATTAAAGACTCTTGATTCATCTTCCACTTCTTTGGTTTTCTTTTTACAACTAAGAAGGAAAGATATGCTTGATCTATCCCCTTCTGATCTGTCTGTGTCACATAAGAAGAATTTAGTATTTGTTTTTCCCACAAAGATGGTTATGATACTCAGTATCAGGCAGAGACACCAACACAGAGCTTGTAATGACTAAAGAAAAGAAACTCTATCCTGTTTTATTGTAAAGAGTCCTGGCTCTGTGAGAGACGACGTCTACTGCCATCCCTTCTGTCTAGGAAGGGGATGAGCCCATTGTGGACCAATCATTATATACACAGTACTAATGGCAAAATACACATCTTCATTACATCTTTGGCACAAATATGAAGGAATATTTACAGTATGTAAAGACATTAAAATAGGATTTCAAAGGCTGCATGCTATCTTGATTTAAAAAGTCCCAAGATCTATCTAAGACAAAGGGGGAGAGGATGACCTCATTATATGTTATTTTTTGAGTTATTCTAATTCTACACTAATATAAATTATATATATGTAATGGAAAAAATTAAGAAGGTTAAAGATGGAAGACTAACCTACTAGTGGAGGTAAACCTCTTTCAAGGGATAGCTTTCAAATTAAAGCATTCAATTAGTTGAAGTAGTTAATATCTAAATGTGGCAGCAAATATTCTATAGCTACTTCTTTTTTTCTATAGCTACTTCTTTTTTTCTATAGCTACTTCTTTATTTACTCTTTATGCCTTAGTTCATATGCAAAAATATGTTTTCACTTTGACTGATATCACAGGAGGCTTCCTAGCTGTTACTTGAATCCCTCACTCTTTGATTTACTGAAGTGACTCCAAGACCCAGCTATACTAACTGGCCATGTAGAAGTTCTTGCATTGTATTTTCAATCTGTATCAGAGAAGCAGACACACACAATCTTTTTTTCTCATTTTTTGAAAATTAAAATAGCATATTTTTTTTATAAATAAGCATTTAAATAAGGGGCCATTTTCAGTTAAGAGAATAAAAAGCAAGGGGAAAAAGATTTCAGGTAACAATGATTAACCAGGGTTATGAAAGGTCTAAAATATCATATAGCCAATATTAATAATTATAAGAGCAACCTGAAAGGCTTCAAGTTATTGTCAGAGCTAAGAAAAGAAGGCATCTATTTTGTTTCTGCTCTTTCAAGGTCATCAGGAAAAGACCTCCAGTGATAAATATTTCACATTATACCTTATTTGTAAATGTGCTTAAGTTTATAAGTAAGTGTAAGTTACAGTAAGTGTAACTGTAAAGAAATCAGCTAAAATTAAGGAAGTGGATATCAAGAATCTCATAGAGGCTTCAGTAAATGGAATTAATAAATTAGATGTAGAAAAATTATAATCTGGAAGTAATTTATCAGGAAAATACTTAGTAACTTTCATGCTTACATTCACATCTCTCTTCCAGTTTCACACATGACAGGGACACCAATGTGTTTATTCAAGTTGTATTTTAATTCCATCTTGGTGTGACATAATTCTCATGTATCAAGTGAATTCAGATTTATGTCTTACAGACTAGTAACAGTTGATTGCATAAAGATATGGCCTGATCAACTGAAAAAGCCAAGAATCTACTAAATATCAATGCAAAGTCAAAGCAAGAATTTTTAGGATGAGGCCAAATACTGCAAATGCTCATTTTGTTTAGCAAACAGTTTCAATTCTGAAGTAACACCACTATTCTGTGAGCTGTGGCAACTGATACAGAATTTCCCCATCCTTACTCACCTGTCACCTCGAAAAGACGCTTCTTGAATGAACTGACGTTTCCATCCTTCCTCCTGAGCAAAGGACTGCTTCTCCTTTCTGTCACCTTTTGTTTTAATCTTGAACGTACCTTCAAGTTGGGCTCTGAAGCTGGAAATGAAGAGAAGAAAATATGTGACTACAAACCCAATTCCTGGCTTCTGTCTGACACCACTGACCCTGTAGGACCTCATCTGATACAAGGAGGACTTGGAGGCAGAGATTTTACTGCCCAACCTTCTCAGTCATCCTGTTGCTCCTCATAAAACTTCATTTTAGATTGCAAGTTAGGAAAGAGTTGAAGAGAGCTGAAGTGCTTGGGATCCCAGCATTTTTCTCATTCCATTGCAACTTTGAAGTTACCCATTAATAATTGTTACTATCATATGTATTAATAACAAATGAATGCAAATCTAATTTACATTATTTTTATCTCTCCTGTAGGTGAAAACTTGGAAAACACATCTTGGAACTTGGAATGTTATAATCGGATTAAGGTTAATTGCAGAAACAGAGATTAGCCTTCACTATTGCCTTTTGATTTCTCTGAGAAATATAAATTACGACAAGCCCTGCTGGCAGAACATTTCTTGGTCAGCGATTTTAGGCCCAGAACTTTAGTGTTTTCTGAGTAACACACCAAACAGCTAGATTTATGGCAGTGTCCTAAGAACATTTACAGAGAAAAATATATGCTCTGAAAATGAAGAAGTAGGGTTGATTCCCAGAAAACCTAGGATTATATTTAATGCACCTTGGGCAAGTTCCACCTTTGTTTCCTTAATGGATACAGTCCTTCATATGAAGGCCAGCTCTGCTGTGCTTTTTATTTTGTAGTATTTTTAACATGATAAAGTGTTTCATGTAGTCATTGATTTGTTCTTCAAATAAACCCTATATCAAACATACTGCTAAGAGCTAGTGAAAGAAAATTGTGGAATAGAATTTGTTTGTATTTCCCTTTCTGGAACTGAGGATTGGCTAAGCAATATCTCAAAACAGAGCTAAAAACTGGGGTCAGCTCTCTCCCCTATGCACAGACTTAAACCCAGCCTCAAAGGAAAAGCCAGAGTTAGCAGAAAACCAATATACATTACATATTTACTCAATTCAGAATTATACCATTTGTCACTGTGGGGCAGGAACTCAATCCTACGCTTCTAATACTAGTCCCTTTCCTCGTGTCACACCGCACAACCTTTTTCCTTCTGTCCCACCTGCTCCCTCAGGGATGGGAAGGCAAGGGGGCTGCACGTCACTGCAGAGCTGCTGTGACCAGCAGTACCTGCTGTCACACGCTGACCTTTGTCATGCTCTGCATTGCACATGGCAAGGGCCGCCCTCTGAAAACCCTGTGCCTTAAATACATTTCAGACCAAGATACATAGGCTGGAGCAGCACTGGAAATCTTTAATTATGAACCTATTAACTAGAAATTCATTTCTATCACCTATTACCACTGTTAAGATGGATGGTTCTAACAATAAAGTACAGATGACTTGTTTACTATCTCAGATACCATTTGCAATGAAATTGAAAATATAAAATACCATAATGTGCTATGACTACCGTATATGCTATCACCACAGGTCTCACCTGGTGTGATGACATTTAAAAGAAAAGGCACTCACTCCTTTTGCACTTACATTTATTTCCAGTTCTACTATTCAGTACTTTTTAAAATGAAGAGATATGTCTGTACATATTCTGTCTGTGCATCCATGACAGATGAATGTGACACAAATCCTCTGCAACACTCACTGGAAAAATTCTCCACTCCTATTTAAATGTTTGATGCTTAGTCACAGCAATTCCCTTTCTATTTTTACCAAATTCCCATCATATTCTGCATCTGAATGCATCATATAAGCACAGAAAACAAATTTTAAAGTCAATGTATAAATTTATGACCCATCTGAGAAGATGCATGAAAAACAGCAATAATTTAAAAATGGAAATAATTTTAATATTAAATGGCGTGGAGAATAGTGGGTTTAAAATTATAAAATAAACTCCACAATACAAATCAAAGCTAATTTTTGAAGAGTGTTTGCTTCAAATTCTGGCTTTCTTGAATTTTCTCCCTGAAACACTGCCATCTCCTAACGTGGTACTTACTAAGATGCAATAGCTAGCAAAATGAATTCTGGTTTCAGTGGACAAAACATACAATTCTAAGCAATTTAAGGATATCTGCTGCAATGAAAGAAATGTAGAACCAAACACTGGTTTCTTGATTCCCAGCAGTAGCTGAGGCATTGGCTTGGTGTGTGACTGCAGAGAACACTGAACCACCCTGCTCCACCAAGGCTGGGGCAGAACTATCATTCACTGCAAGAGGTATGGATCACCACAGCAAACCTATGTGCTTCAGTGCACTCCTGCATGAGGGCAGTAATAAGACAACTATAATTGTCAACTCTCTTCTGACAGTTAAAAAGGCAAAATTAAATATTTAATCTTCAAATACCGAGCTGTGGATTGCAATTATAAACATATACATATATATACACACTGACTGCCTTAAAGCACATAAGTAAGATCTATTAGAAACTGGTTTAGTCCTTTAAACTCTGAAATGCGATCATTAGCAATGTGAAAAAAGTGAATATAATTTTTTCAATTTTTTTAAAAATTAGATTATTTCCCTAGTATTTGCAAGAAACTTGGAAAGTCTTAGTAGCAAATGGCCCAGAATTATTATAATTAATTTGCCTTATGTTTCAAATGAGTATTTGGCTCAATACTTTAACTAGTGGCTCTTAGAAGTGGTTCTACAGAGGGGTAATGTTCAAAATAACTGTTTTGCATTAGCCACCCTGTAAGTATTTTTACTGCACATTATTTGTTCTTTTGCTCAGCTTAATTAATCCATTGCCACAGCTGACTATGTTAATCACACAAAGGCATTCTCCATGGGGAAAACTGTCATATGGAGTCATATGTCATGGGGAGTCAATGCCAAAAAACTTTTGAGGCTTAAAGATTTACTCCCCAGCTTGCTGCAGAGTAGCAAATACAAGACCCTAAGAAGTAACTTTTTTTGCTACAGTAATACCACAAAATTATTGAAAAGACCATCAGGGAATATATATGGTGATTCAACCATGAACTAAGACACTGACACAGCAAGAAAATTAATGCACATGGCTAACTTGCTACATGCTAACCATCTCACTGTGGTCCAGAACTCAAAATTAGATTAATATATATGTCCCATATAGCAGACATCCTGTATCTCACCTTCCTGAGGAAAAGAGGCCTCTCGAAGTGCTGGAGGTGTGGAATAGTATGGGTTTTGCTGTATTTGACTACTCCAGCTGTAGAGGACTGAAACATCTGACCAAGGAGCCCAAATGCCACAGACAAGAGAAAAACAAGAGCACGTGGCCAGGAATGTGGCCATGAGGACGAGGAACACAGTATGGCAAATTTTCATGGCAGCAGTCTGATTGGTTGGGCTGTGCTTCTAAAATCTTACTAAGAAATGGTTTACAGCTGATATTGGTTTAGTTGGTCTCTGTTTAGCTAACCTCTTTGCTCCGCAAATCTTTACACTTTTATATTATTATTACACTTTACACTATTATATTTTGCATTTTGGAACACGTAAAAATCAATTTACACATGGAGAAAGAGAACACACATTATTTGAAAGTGTTTAGTTGCAAAGAAAACAAAAAGATACAGCTATTTTCTCTGAAGGCCGTCAAAGACCATGTCATTGCTCTCAACAGGAATCAGCTGGTCCCCATTTGATTGATCCGCTTCAGAGGATTTCAGGAAAGACTAATCTGAAAATTACTTTTTTTTTAATGCAGATGTAGCATAATTTGGAATAATGAAATGTTGCAGTAATATGGCTTGTTCAGTTTTATTGCTATTACCTGGCTTATTCTCTTTTTAGTGCTGGTAATTATGGACTGGTGTTGATCTTTAAATTATTCTAAGTGGGAAACAGATATGAAAGACAGAGAAAGGATTAGTTTAAACAACAGCAGAAGATACCACAGGCAATCAAAGAATAGGTTATCTAACATTTTGCCATGACTTGTAATTAGGTCTACAGAGCTTTGGCTGTAGGTGAAGGGGAGAAACTGTCTGAATTAATTTTCTCATATTTTACAGTGGCTTCATAGAAGAAGCAAGAATAACGTAACTGCACTGTTAAAAATGGAAAATATACCTTCTATGTAGGTACACATTAATTTCATCACATGAGTTATCACTGATAGGTGAAACAAGCTAGTCTCTCCTAAAAAACATGAAGCTCAAATATAAGCACAAGAGATAGGAAAATGATTCAGTGAAGTCATTACGTCCTATACTCCACTTTGCTTAATATTAGCAATTTGCAGACACTAGCATTAAATAATATAGCCTGGGGCCAGATTGCTCCCAAATGAGCTGAGGTTTTCTTGACAGGGCTTTTCTTCATTGTTTCTTTTTATTAAACATACAGAGATATTTAAGAAGAAGGAATGAAAATCCTTTTTACGCATGGGGAGAAGACATATATGAAGAGAATGTAAAAGACAATAATGCATTACTTTCTGATAGTTCCTGGAACACACTAGTACTTTTGTATCAGAAGAGTGTATGCCAACTTCAAATCAGCATTTAATGAAGCCAGGCAGGAAATGGGGGATGGGAGAGGGTGCATAGCAAGCAGGTCCTCATCTTGAGGCTAAAGCCCTGTATAGCAAGCCTGAAGAACAGAAAGTGAGCTTTTGTCCAGATTCCTAAAGGCTCTAAAGTGAAAGCATTTCCTCTTCCTCACAAGCAGGCTGGCTTAGAAAAGCTGTGGGGCAGTCGAGGTAAATAATGCTAAATCTGGCTAAAAAGATTCCAATATCAGCATGAGTAACAGCGGCAAAACTGACATCCTAATCAAGAAAGATCAATTGTCCACCGTTGCCCAGGCATCAGCTGTTATCACTAAGATCACTTTTAAAACAGCAACCTGAACTTTCCTAACATCATTAGGTCACCAGAATCAATTAAAACCAAAAAACTTCAAGATCTTCAAGCAAATCTTCACAGGTATTCTCTATTTCTTTAGCCATAGTTTTTTTTAAGCTGTGGAGAGTCGTACGTACTGACTTGAATAT